CAACACCCCCCCCCCCCCACCTCCCACCCCCCAAAAAAAAAATCCATTCCCCTTTGTCCCTAACAATCAGTAGGTCTTTCTACAACCTTTTTATCTGATCTGACAAAATAGCCTTCTGAAATAACTTGAAGGATAATGATGATATTTCCTTGTTTCAATAATTTTATTGAATAAAATGAGGAAAACCAAATCAAAGTTAGATACTTTGGGAAAGCCAACTTCTTCCAAGAGAAACAAATAAGATGTAGCATAATTCTAAATATTGTCTATGGCATACCTCAACTCAAATAAGATGTAGCATAGTTCCATTAATCATTTTAAGTAATTGAATAGATCAAAATGCAATTGGCCACGAAATGTAGACTTTAATGCACTAAGTAAGGTTTCTTTAGATGATACTGCTTGTACTTTGAGGAATTTTGGTCAAGAAAGAGCTGGTTTCCTACATTACGAGCAACTTCCCAGGAAAATATTACATAAAAGCATTATTTTCACTGCTTAATTGATTGAGCTAAATTATGTAAAAACAATATTATCTACAGATCAATAAAGAAAGATATACTACTGTCCCATGGGGATGACCTAGTGCTTGAAACATGCCGTACAACCTGCAGATCCAGGTCAGAATTCCAACTACAACACTCAGTGTGACACCATTTACTCCACACCTGATGTGTGGGATTAACTTGGCAAGCTTTACTTGTGGACTGGTCAGGCTACCCAGGGGATTAGTTGTAGTACAAACAAGTTGGACACATGACATTGATATACAAGATAAAAATAAAAATAAGGTAAACAACTTGGCTCGCCAAAATATATAAGGTAGTCCAACCCATTGACTAAATCCAACTTAGTCTTGATCGAGCCATCCGACCACAAAAAAGGATTAAACTAGCTTTGCCAAAGGGATAAGTTATTGCAATAAAAAAGTCTTTTGGTTTTTGTTGAGAAAGGTAACAGCATATTATTCTTTTATTTATTTTATTTTGAGAAAGGATAAAAGAAAACAACAATGCATTAATCATCAGCACAAAGGCTATGCTAGAGCCATATTTACAATTTCAAAAAACAAATGTGTGACCTTGTTCTTCTTAAAGGAATTTAAGAAATTCTAACAGAATTTCAGCTTCCTTTGCAAAGTTCTCTTTACACCAAAAGCAGTCTTTTTTGTCGTCAGTTGATTTCTTGGCGTTTCTTTTCCAAGTTTTTCATAGGGGAAACTTTACAGTAATGAAGTACAGTAGTATTCCAGTTTATCACAAAGAAAGAGGTGGTCTGAATAGAGGAAATTTGCAAGATGAAAATTATTTTGCATTTAAACTGTCACTAATGAAGCTCGAGAGGAGATGAGGGGGTATTTTCTTTTAATTTAATGTGACAAGTGTGTCATGCTCCCATTGGTGTGTTATGGACTCCCCAAGTTGAAGTGGTCGTAAGTCATCTAGGGAGATCTTAGTTACGGAAATGACAAACTAGAGCGTATAAAAGGGTGCCCACAAACAAAGGTGTGAAAAAAAATTCCTGCAAGTTGGAGGTATAAAGTATGTCTTCCGGAAACAGCCTCTCTACCTCCACGAGGTAGCGGTAAGGTCTGCGTACACTCTACCCTCCCAGACCCCACCTAGCGGGAAATGACAAACTAGAGCGTATAAAAGGGTGCCCACAAACAAAGGTGTGAAAAAAAATTCCTGCAAGTTGGAGGTATAAAGTATGTCTTCCGGAAACAGCCTCTCTACCTCCACGAGGTAGTGGTAAGGTCTGCGTACACTTTACCCTCCCCAGACCCCACCTAGTGGGATTTCACTGGGTATGTTGTTGTTGGAGGTATAAAGTATGCATTAAGCCTAAACTAAATAAAACAGACTTCATTCTGCACCGCAAGAGCAACTTGAATCTCAACCAACTCATATCCAACTCCTCTCACTATCTGATAATGGTGCATGATGACATCCGTTGACCCCCCAACTATGTTTACCAATAGCTGTCCAACCAGACATCTAGATGACCCATTCAGTATCTTTACATATTTGATTCTGCTGGATGAAACCAAAACATCCTACATCTTTCTTCTTTGGTTCCAAACAAACACAAGTTGTCCATTGACATTCCAATGTTACCCAGCAATGTAAGTGAATGTCATTTTAAGTTTATGGTCCTACAAAAACTAGAAACCTTAGATCACCTCCCAAGGAATCTCAATATCAATTAACTATATCTCAAACCCAAACCAAACTAATTGCTATTGTTATCATTTGGAAAAGACAAATTAGGATCCTCTGAAGAAACTAGATGTTACAAATCTCACAATTATCATTTCACAGACATACAAAGTCTCTATCCAGACTAAATTTACTCCTTGAAAATATTGGACCTAATATAAGTGAAAGACAAGTAAACTTTAACCTTGATTAGTTGGCATCGCGTAAATGGATCATTTGCTTCTGTGATGTTCTGTTCTTAGCTAAATTGGCATTGGTTTTTGAGAAATAAAGGGTTGTCTGGACCAACTTCAGTTGATGTGTATTCAAGTCTACTCCATCCACTTTTAGCACCTTCACTCATCTATACCTACTGACAAATGTATTTGGCGGTGTATACAAGACATGGACAAACCATTTTAGGCGATCTTCTCGGAGTTTATCCTCCGTATTTTTACTTGCAAGTTGCACCCTCTATTGGAGATCAGCATTCTAATATTGTATATTCTTGTCAGAGAAACATTCATCTTAGGATCCACATTTCTACAACATGTATCCTATGAAAATATTCTATTGTTCCAACATTCACTTTCACAATATATTGTTAGTCATACCGTCGTCAGATAAAACTTTTCTTGCGCTTTGTTAAGTATAATTGTAGCATATAATTATATGTTTTAGTTAAAAAAAAAAAAGGAGGTAAAATTTCATTAATAAGTACCAAGAAGGTCCACAAAGTACAATAAGGAACTATGTTACATCTTCATTTATCACCCCATTGTCCCCGAAAGAATGAATCTAGATATCTAAATTGTTTGCACTTAAGCTTCACAATCCCAAATGGCATACCCAAAAATAAAATGAACAAAGAGATGGCATTAGAGAAAGCTACACGATTCTCGAACAAAAATGATAGCACTACAGAAAACCAACCAGCAACCTAGAATTAAAGGGACAAAACTCAAGCATTCAAACAAATCCATACCTACAGAGGAAAGCATGTTTTGGGCCATTCAAAATTTATAGAAGCAGCATAATTTGTACAAGTGAGCTGTACTTATTAAAACTTAATTTCTATGTCACTGATATCTAATAGTCCCTCCGTTTTCAATTTATTCGACCTACTTTCCTTTTTAGTCCATTTTAAAAAAGAATGACCTTTTTTCCTTTTTAGCAACTTTTTAATTTCAACTTTCCACATGTTTAACACCACAAGATCAAAGGGCATTTTGGTACATTTAACAGATCTTTAATTTTAGACCACAAGAGTCAAAAGACGTTCTTTATTTTCTTAAATTATATGTCAAGTCAAAACATGTCCCTCAATTTGAAATTGAAAAATGGAGGGAGTATCTAAAAACTTAGTGCCCGTTTGGATGAGCTTATAAAAAGTAACTTATAAGTCCAAAGTTAAAAGTAGGGGATACCTCGGACCCTTTGGCCTGACCCTTTGGTTTGGGCTTAGGACATCAATGTTAGAGGTCTCAAGTTTGAAATCCCTGGGTTTGCCTTTTGGGTCAAGCTACTCACACCGGGTTTACCTAATGCAGGTTACCTCTCCTGCCTACAGTTTGTCTTGTCATTTAAAAAAAAGTAGGGATTTTAAACTTTTTTAGCCTAAAAGTCGGTGCTTAAAAAACACTTTTTAACTTTTCCAAATAACTCCAAAACTAAAAGAAAAAAGAAAGTGCTTAAAAGTCAATAACCACCTAAACTAATCCAAATACCCCATAAGTCATTGACTATGGTATTTTTCAATTTTATAGACTACTAATATGATGATCTTTTGACAATGTTCACCTAAATTTAATACTAATGACCACTGTTTAGACTTTGTTTCTTACTCTTTACTTGATTATTACTCTAAATTTCTCTTTTTTTCCTTACATTAAGAAAACCCTCATTAAGTTTTTGCTTTAAAAAGCTAACGAAATTTTAAAAAATAGAAAGAAAAAAAAAGGTAACCAAGAACTTACTGAGGACGCCATGAACGGAGAGGGTGTAGCAGTAGCAGCAAGAAGCAGTGAGAGTGAAAGAGAAGAGACCGAGAGAGAGCAAAAGGAAAAACTGAAAAAACTTTTGCGCAATACATCGAGTTTTCTTCTATTTTTGGACTTCGTAATTAGGGATTTAATATGTGGTGCAGTTCATGGGTGACTCTTCCTAAAAGGTCTCGGGTTTAAACTAAGAAAATTTTCTTGCTTTAAATTGCACGAATTTAAAATATTAGAACTTTAATATAGATATCAAATATGAGATAGAAAATTGAACCAAGTCTTTGGCTTGCTAAAAAAAATCAACAATAAGTATATATTATAAATTAAAAATTAATTTTATATATAATGTAGTTTTACACACAAGATTTTAAAATCAATACTAAAATGAGTATTGTTATAATTAAATAAGTAATAATACTACAAAGTTTTTTTATAAGTTATACTTGTTCTATTTATATTAAATATATATTATTGATATGTGTATTGTTATTCGACATCAATTTTGATATAAAATAATACATCAAGTACAACATAAGAATACATGAATTATCAATACAGTGATTAGAAAACCAACCAAACATTATTTAAGTGGAAGTTAATATCGGTAATATTTCAATATATACATAAACTCAAATGACACCAAAAGGGTTTTTTTTTTTTAAAAGGATAATAACGACAACACAAGAAGTTCTTAGCCTTTGTTGAGTTTCAAGTATCCTTAGTCTACTTTAAAATAAAACTCGTATCATTAGGTGTTGGTATTAGTAGTACCTTGTTTGGTACGTTTTTTCATGTCATGTATAACTAGTTATACACTCTATAGTGTATTAAGTTGTGTATTACTAATACCAAGTAATTTTAGGTTTAGTAATACATAGCATTTTAACACTTGCATTAGATTAAATAATTACAAAACTACCCTCAAAGCCCTTTTAAAACATTTCATAGCATTTTCTCACAACTCTAGAATCTTTTCATATATTTTTATTTTTATATTTATTTGTTTTTCAGTGTTTTAAAATTTGTTGGTGTCTTAATAGGTATTTTTTGGAGGATTTGATTTCATTTTATTTAATAAAAGGGTCTGCCCCACTATTTATTTAATGGTTGATAAGTTTCATTTTAATAGGCTACCTCTTAAGTATCTTTTTTAAAAATCTAATTTCAATACGATTTAATTTTCTTCTTTTTTATTATTGTGGCGATAAATTTGATAAAAAAATTATTTGACGCAATAGTATAACTATGTAACATTATTTTTTAATAAAGAAGAAGAAGAAGAGTTAATAATGTTTTAGCAAAGAAATTTTATTTTGATGTTTTAGCAAAGAACTTTTTAAAAAAGGAAGTGTAAAATAAATAAAGTGTGAAGGGTATTTTTGTAAACATATATTTTTAAATAGAAATTATGTAAGATTTGTTATTTCTAATACATTAAATCAAACAGTGTATAAGAAATAATGTTTGCATAACTAATACAAGCATTACTAATGCAAGCAATACTAATGCACCCTATTTTGCATTATTCTTATACACTCTACCAAACGACCCCTTACATCTATATTTAGATTGTAATAGTGTAGTCAAAGGAGGGCTCAAACCTTAAAGTGAAGCGTATGTGAATTTTAATATCATCATAGCATTAAGGCATACTTTACTTTACTAGCTAGTGAATGCAATCTTAAAGATGTGACACTAAACAATTGATTATTTTAGAAGAAATTTTTTTTGCTAACTTTTTGTATTTTTCATCATTAAGGACTGTGTTGGTCACCTCCAAAAGAAGTTACAAGAAAAGGAAAAATAAGGACAGAAAATACTTACGAAAAAATTATGAAGTCTACTAATTGAATCTCCTCTTTTATATCATGTTCGTTACACCAAAAATCTAAAATAGTGATAACTTCCCACTTAATCTCTTTGGTACATTCATTTCCTTCAAATATTCTTTGATTCCTTCCTTTTCACATAAACCACCAAGTACATGCTTAAACGGTTCTCTACCATCTTTTCTAAACTAAACAAATTTTTAAAAAAAATTATATTTCACTTTATTAAAAATAATCGTCCATATAAATAACATTTTCTAAAATAAAATAATAAAAAACATAAAGATAAATTTTAACTTAAAAAAAGTCAAAATTGACCTAAGAGAATCTATCCCACGCTAAAAGAATGACCTAAGAGATAAAATCAAACTAGTAAACATTAAATTAAATAAGGAACAACAAGGAATAGGATGAAGAAAATACAGTAAAAACATAGAGTAGAAATTTGAGGAAAACCAATATGTATACCTCATTTGATGACGAGGGTTTCTAGAGTTTGAGACCTATTATTCAGGATGGTAAAGATTTTTGGTAAATTTGAGTGAGAATGTGTTTTTGAGTTGGAATATTTGTAATATCTTAAAGAACATAACTATCCACTTGGACCCTCAACTTGTTAGGCGAATTTTGTATAGTTTCACATGATAATTAATAAAACTTATTTAATTGTCAAAAAAATAGTTCAATTAATATAAGTAGTCAAACGATGCCTAAATATCTATTTTTAATTTATTTTTTAAAAAAAGGACAACAACAACAACAAACTTCTAGCCATTGTTGGGTTCTAAGAGTGCTTCTTCTACTTTAAAATAAAATATTTACATCCATATCTGGACCGTAACATTGTTATCAAATGTGTGTTTAAGCCCTAAAGCGAGGTGCAAAACATGTTGAGCGTTTTATCTCATTTTATAGACATTTTCATGTATTATTTAGGCTTTTAAGATATATTTTTTCTTACTTACAATTGGAATCTAAACAGTTAAATTTCACTTTATCAAAAAAACTAATTTCTTTGTTCATATATTTTTATTCATGTTTATAATTATTAATCTCAACTACACATACAAATTTGTAAATTTCTACATTCGCGTTTTTCTTTATTTGCACTTGAAGCGTTAAAGAGTTTTTTGCACTTTTCCCTTTTGATAACACTAGATTGCAAGAAAATAAACAATGACAGATAGAAATCACATATAACTCTGAAGCCTGAATTTCATTCTAATCCTTTTACATAATTTTTTTTTTAAAAAAAAGGCCCAAAACATGGTGGTGAATTTTGATAAAACAAAGTCAAATAAAGCAGAAAACTGAAATAGCAACTAATCAATGCAAAAAAGCACCACCCATCTGGGCCGATACAAAATTACCAAATAAAAAGATAAAATCAACTAGTAGCAGTCAAATTAAATGAGGAACAACACAGAAGAGGATTAATAGAATGCAAGAAAAGTATAGAATTGAAAGGGAAATCAATCGGTATACCTCATTCGACGACGATGGGTTCTAGGGTTTGAGACTTGTTTTCTGAAAAATGAATTGGTGAATTTGAAGTGAGAATGAATTTCTGGGTCAAAAAGTATTTTTACAAATAATAATACAAAAAAGAGGAGTTTTAGATTTCAAGAATCTCAAAAAATTTAAGAGTTATTTGACCGCGTAGGTTGATACAATTATTATTTTTTTTAATTTATTTTGTGATACAAGAATGGCGTTACAAATCATAAAGAGAGGTTTGAATTTTTGGGAATATAGCTTGAAATTTTGATTTGAAATTAGGGGGTGCAAAAAATCATTTTAATAAAAAATAAATCATTTTAATTTATTTCTATCAGATTGTTGGATTAAAGTGTAATGTCGCGTACTATCGAGATAAGATTTATATCATTTGATTTATGCGATTTAAACTAAACTAAACTTTTTATGGTTCTTAGATGTTTGAGGAATCTATTTATGCTGGTGAAGTGTTATTTAAATTTGGAGTTGATTTAGGCATGAACGGATTATGTTTGAAGGTATTAGTTCAAGCATGGTGTGAGGTACGATTATAGATTGCATATACGGATCGTATTCTATATTTTGGATATCTATAAAATGGAAAAACTACTACTTGGCAGGGAGGAACCATCTATGGGTCATACATTATTGCATGTATGAGTCGTATTTCGGTAGATGGAAAGTGGTGCAAGTATGGTAGATCGTATGTTGAGTTTTGGTGCAAGGTCAACCTTCAAACGAGCTTATCTTCAAATATACGAGAATTTTGGAGTTGTATAACCTGTCAAATTAAATCTCGCTAATTTTAGTTTTATCACGATCTATGTAATGTCCCATTAAATTTGTTTTAGATTATGAAGTGACCATTTTGCTCTTCCCCTTAGCGTTTTCATGCTTTGTGTTTTGGAAATGACTGGTGTGGTCCCCGATGCGATCAACTGTGTTTTTGGTGATTTGACCCCTTTTGAGTTGAGAATTCATGATACGATTGACTTCAGTCAATATTTTGAGTTCCAAGCGTGGGATGGGAATTCCGTCAGTTTCATCGCGACCGAAACATCAAGTTTAAGATAGTAGGTGGTTAGTAAGGTTTTTGAGGCCTTTGGTTGAGCTTTGGACGTTTGGATGAGAAGTTGAGTTTTAAGCCTTAAAGTGGTCTAGAAGGGTAAATCCATAATTTGACCTTTTAAAAAAAAATTCAATGATTTCATTGAGTCTGGAATATCGATTTTAGTGGGGTAGCATGCCCAGTTTATTTTTATCGAACTGAACGGTTTTTAAAGGTCCAATCGGAGTAGTCAGTGTGCCTGCTCCGGTGCAAGGGGACCGCATTCTCGGGCGCCCTAGCTCATTCCTGGGATAATGATGCCTGGGCCACCGCGTTTGCGAGAAGGGTAGGTTGCATTCACGGGTGAACAGTGCTTTGCGATCATAGAGATGTTCCCGTGTTCGCGAGCATTGGTAACCTAGTAGGCCACGTTCGTGGACCCTAATTTTTAGACTCGGATATAATCCAATTCAAGATTTATCTGATTTTTTCTCATTTCTTTCATTTTCAATGGAGCTTAGGGGAGGCGATTCTTGAGAGCATTTTTGTGCAAATTTGTGTGGGTAAGATTTCTTTATCAATTCTTGGTTGATTCCTTCAAGTTTTATATTCTTAAAACTCTTTAAAAAAATTGATTTCAAAGTGGGTTTTGGGGTGTTTTCTCCCAAAGTGGAAAAATTAGTAAGACCTTGATTTGAGACTCGTTTCTAGATCGTTTTAATGGGTTTTTCAACCATGAATTCCTCTTCACTTGTAGAACTTGGTTTACAACTAAAAA